GACCCATCGGCCGCTTCCGGCGCGGGAGAAGGATGTGGCCTGTGTGCGTGTGCGGAGTGCTCCGGGCCTGGGCCCTGCCCTTGGCGCGAGCCTCGGGGGCGCGGGCCTGCAGTGGGGCTGGGGGCGTCGCCTACACTCAGGGCCAGAGCCCAGCGCCCCGCACCCGCGAGTACTTTTACTACGTGGACCACCAGGGCCAGGTGGGCCGGGGCGGGGCGGAGGACCACCGAGGGGGCGGGCCGGAAGGGCGGGCGGGTCCGTTAGACCAGCGAGCGCGTGGGAGCTGTGGCCCAGCGCTGGGGAGACCCGCACTCGGGTCTTAGCTCAGGAGGGTTGGTCGGCCTCGGCCCCGCCCCCGCCCCCCCCCCCCCAGCTGCCAGCTCTACACGTGTCTGCACCTTGCACCCCAGTTCCTACCAACCTTCGGCCTCCAGTCCTGGGCTGCCCCGCCTGCCTTGGAAGCCCTGGCGGGGGCAATGGCCACACCCAGGAGGAAGCTAGTCAAGTAGCCCCGCGGAGAATGTGGCACCTGATTAGAAACTTGAGGTTAAAGTCGCGGAAAAGGCCGCTTTAATGAACCCGGGTGCGGCCGATCCGGGGAATGGGAAGGGCCCAGGTTTCCTCTACGCTCCTCTGTACACGGTGTGCACAGATGAGCACAGGGAGCGGACACAGGTCTGGCCCGGGCACAAGGACCCTCCCGCCTCGGGCAGGCGTCCTGCCGGGCTCATGGGCACCGCCTGTCCCTCTGTCTGCAGCTTTTCCTGGATGACTCCAAAATGAAGAACTTCATCACCTGTTTCAAAGGTACTGCTGTGCCCTCACCACTTCCTTCTCCCTTCGGGGAAGGCTTCGGAGGGTCCGCTCCTCAACCCCGCCCGCGGCAGGGGCTGGGCATCCTGAGCTCCCGAGCCCCGCTATCGAGTGAGGCCAGGGCGGCCCTCCCTACCGGCGCCGGCTCCCGGCGTGGCCCTGGGGTAACGGGGCCTGGCGTGGTGAGCAGCCCGTGTCCTTCGCCTCCCCAGACCTGCAGTTCCTGGTCACCTTCTTCTCCCGTCTGAGACCCAACCGCAGCGGGCGCTACGAGGCCTCCTTCCCCTTCCTCTCTCCCTGCGGCAGGGAGCGCAACTTCCTGCGCTGCGAGGACCGGCCCGTGGTCTTTACGCATCTGCTGGCTGCAGGCCCCGGGTCCCCGCGCCTCTCCTACTGCGGCGGCGGCGAGGCGCTGGCTGTGCCCTTCGAGCCCGAGCGCCTGCTGCCCCTGGCCACCAACGGGCGCCTGTACCACCCCGCGCCGGAACGCGCAGGGGGCGTAGGTCTGGTGCGCTCGGCCCTGGCCTTCGAGCTCAGCGCCTGCTTCGAGTACCCGCCCGGTGCGTCCGCGGTGCCCTCCCACGTGCACTGGCAGGGCCAACGCCTCCCCCTCACCATGGATCTGGCCCCGCTGCTGCTCGCCGCCCCCCAGCCCTGAGCGTCAGGCGGGAGGCCGCGGGCCCTGAGCGCCCCTCTCGCTGCGCACGCGCCACCCGGAGAGCGCGCAGGCCGCGTGCGCGTGCGCGTCGGGGAGCATCTAGGCCCCGCCCCGCCCGGCGCTGTCCGAGGTGCTGCCGCGGCCGGTCCCGGACCGAATGCGGGAAGGGGCCCGGGCCCGGGCCTTTCTACTCTCCCGATCTGGGGCATCCTCTGCTTCCGCTCGCGACGGCAGGCCCGGGCGACCGGGCGAGAGGCACAGGGCTCCAGTGCGCTTGCGCGACCGGCGCCCGCCCCTCCCCTGTCCGGGCTGCTCCGTGGGCCGGGGCGCCGTGGGCTCGGCGGGGGAGCCGCGCCGCAGGAGCGTCAGGTGAGGGGGCGCCCGAACCAAGGTCAGCGGGCATGGGGCGGGATCGGGGCCGTCCACTACACGCACTGAGGACGTGCGACCTGGCGGGACTACGCCCTGCTCTGATTCGCCCAGAACAGACCCGTGCTCTGGGGATGCAGGCGAAGCCTTGGGGTACCTAGGTGCCTGGCTCGGTTTTCCTTCTGCGCCCGATGGGGTCGCAGGGCTTCACCCCAACCCCTACCCCGCGCAGATGGGCGCCCCGGAGGCAGCGTCAGCCATCTCAAAGCCTATGTGTGACGCCCGGGCCCCTACCCAGCCGGATTAGGGTTTGTCCGCCGAGTAAAAGGATTTGTGTGCGGGCCTCCCAGGCTCTTCCCGCCTGGGCCCTCATCCTTGCCCAGCTGGCCCTGTGACATGGATCCGCATCTAGGAGTGCCCGTATGAGCAGCAGCGCCCTGAATCCCGAGGAGGAAGCTAAGAACCTTCTCTACTGGAGAGGCCCTGCTCCTGGAAGATGGGTGTGGGCAAGCCCTTTTGCTCAAGGAGATGAGTGCCAGGGGCCAAGAGAAATCCCCTGGCTTCTTGGGGCTCGCAAACATCCTGAGACACCAAGGAGCTGCCCCTGCCTGGGCCAAAGCTACTCCATTAAAACTTTTGCTGTGCCTACTTCATCTCTAGTGACTTTAAATAATCACTTTAAGGCAAGATTTAAACAACCATTAAAGCCACCTAGTTCCTTTCTACAAGACTCACTCTTGATAGTGGAAAACCTGGTGAACAGGGGGGTGCTCAGAGCAGGTACCACTTGAGGTGGAGCCTGAGGCTGGGTGACAGCCAACCCTTGGCCCTGCCACCCTGGTTGGTTTCTCAGCCCAAGTCCCCACCTTTAAAATCGGACTCCTTGTGCCTGGAACTAGATCCAGACCTTCCCGTCTCTCTAGGATCACAGCTGCATGTGCATAAACCCACAACACACTACATTCCTTCAGTCCAGAAAGTCACTGTTGAAACTATACTAGAAACCCAGTTGGTGGTCCAACCATTCCAGGGCTCCACTGTCCCCCAAAAGAGGCACCTTTTGGGGAGCCAGCATGGATAACACAGGTCCATAGCTTGGGAAATGTTCTTCCCTATCATTTGCTTCATCATCCTACTCTCTAACAAGTTCCCAGAGAACAAACCCTCATTCCAGTAAGCTGTTCCACCCACCCCACTCCCAGGGCAGGAGCAGAGGCAGGACAAAGGAGGGCCTGGGTTTTTCTTAGAGGAGTCAAGAGCCATCCTCTAAGACCAGTTCTGCCCTGCCTTCCATCAAGTGACCTTATCCAGGGGGTACAAAAGGGACCTCTGCTCTGGGCCTTACAAGATCTCATGCCAGTCCCCGGAGAGCAGAGTCCAATGTACAAGGGGTGCCATTTGCGCATCCCCCTCTGGCCCAGGCTTGGGAACAGCTCTGGACTTCACCACCCAAATGCTCCCGAGCCTGTATCACCATACCTGACACCAGCCTCAGTCTCTTGCAATGTAGGTCCAGAGTGGCTAGTTGGGAGGGTGTAGAGGGCGGTGCTACCTAGACAGACATGCACATGGCTGGGCAGAGATAGAATGAGGAGAGAAGGGGACAGGGTGGGCTGTCCCCATGTGGCCTGTGTGCAAGACAGAGGACATCAGAAATTCAAAACTGGAACCTCATGTCCCAAATCCTTGACTGTTTTCGTTAAGAAAACATTTTATCAGTTTCTTATGTTGATTTATAACTTTTCAAACATTAGACACGGTGTGAGCTTCCATCCATGCTCTTCGCTGACTCTCAAGTGTTAGGACAAGGCCTTGCCAAACTGTTTCAGGAAGTGCTTCCCATCTGGGGCCCCATTGTAGCAAAGTTGGTGAGGAGGTTGGCCTCGGGAGATGGCCTCCGGGGCCCCGGCACTGCTGCTGCTGTCGCTGCTCTGTCTGCCCAGTCTCCCGCCCGGATCCACCAGCTGCCCGGCTGCCTGCCGCTGCTACAGCACCACAGTGGAGTGTGGGGCCCTGGGGCTGCACGTTGTCCCGCCAGGAATCCCGCCTGGGACACAGGTGGGAACTGTGTGGGGCTGCGGGTGAGGAGGGAAGGGTGTGTGAGCATCCCGGTGGGTAGACGGGAACCTTAGTTGGAGGAACACTCCCTCAGTGGGGTAAACACTGCCTGCCCTCCCTCCCTCCCTCTGGCCTGCAGACGCTGTTCCTGCAGGATAACAGCATCTCATGCCTGGAGCTGGGCATCCTGGCGCCCCTTGCAGCCCTTCACAGTCTCTACCTGCACAACAACAGCCTTCGCACCCTGGAGCCAGGCACCTTTCACGCACAGTCGCGCCTGCTGGAGCTCGCGCTTACAGGCAACCGGTTGCGAGGCCTGCACCTGGGGGCTTTTGCAGGCCTGGCTCAGCTGCGCATCCTCTACCTGGCTGGCAACCAGCTGATGCAGCTGCTGGACTTCACCTTCCTGCATCTGCCGGTGAGGGGTGCGGGGAAAAGGGCGGGGATCCTCCTGTACTGTCAGCTGCTCTGAGGGGCTGGAGTTGTGAAGGGGACAAAAGTCAACCAGCCTAGCCTGGTAAGGAACATATCTCCTAGGGCCCCTTTCCCTGATGATCTGCTGTCCTTGCTTCAGCGACTGCAGGAGCTGCACCTGCAGGAAAACAGCATTAAGCTGCTGGAGGACCAGGCCCTGGCCGGGCTCTCCTCACTGGCACTGCTGGACCTCAGTAGGAACCAGCTGGGCACCATCAGCCATGAGACCCTGCAGCCCCTGGCCAGCCTGCAGGTCCTGCGCCTCACAGGTACCTCTTCTGGAGCAAGGGGTCTCAAGCAAAGATATCAAGCCACAGTGCTGGCATTAGGGAGTAGGCCCAGTTATGTAGGGCAACCCAATGGCAGTGGCTCAAGAGCTGTACACCCCCAGGGCAGCTCTGAAGGGCCACACCACTACCAGCAACCACAGCAGAATGCTGCCAGGAATGGGGGTGTTGGTAGGGGCACAGCTCAGAGAATTTTTGTAAGGAAGACAGAAAAGGTACAAGTCTCTAAACAGAGTAGATACAGTTGAGGGGCTTGCACACTTTGGGGCCATCAGAGGGCAGGTAGGTAGAAACTAGAAAGATGGGGGCATTTCTAGGAGACAACACCTGAGAGACAAGGCTGACAGTATTTGCAAGGTTTTAGTGGTGGTGAGATGTCTATGTGGACACCAGGGTTCCCCCCAAATAGTGGGACTTGGCGGGACAAGAGACTGCCTAGATATCGTGAACTGAAGGCGCCAGGGAAGAGTCGGCCCACACTCTAAGGAGCTTGTGCAGGGGTGGCAGGGGTCCCTGACTCTGTGGGAGGTAGTGAAGGGGCTCCTGCTCTGGCCAGTGGAACCCCAATTGCACAGGCTGTGGTCACAGCTGCCCCTGGGCTACCTGCTCACCGCTGCTCTGTCCACAGAGAACCCATGGCGCTGTGACTGCGCGCTGCACTGGCTGGGAGACTGGCTCAAGGAGGCGGGGCAGAGGTTGCTCGGCTCCAGGGACAGGAAGATCGTGTGCGCAGAGCCTCCACGCCTGGCCCTCCGGAGCCTCCTGGACGTCTCTGGCAGTAGCCTCATCTGCATCCCACCTTCTGTGCACGTTGAGCCGCTGGAGGTGACAGCCAACCTGGGTGAGAACCTGCGGGTTGCCTGCCAGGCTTCCGGCTACCCGCAGCCCCTGGTAACCTGGAGAAAGGTGGCCCAGCCTCGCGAGGGACAACCACGGGCCCAGGCCCCGCCAGAAGGCGGGGTGCCAGGCCCAGGCGGGCACGGAGCCTCCGACACGGGCAGCGGCATGCTCTTTCTCACCAACATCACCCTGGCCCACGCTGGCAAGTACGAGTGCGAGGCCTCTAACGCCGGCGGCGCCGCTCGGGTGCCCTTCCAGCTCCTGGTCAACGTGTCCCAGCAGCAGCTGCAGGGGGCGGCACCGCCGGCGGCCGTGGGCCCTGCGCCCCTGCCCGAGGCGAGCAGCATGGCCTTCCGCGCCCTGGGGCTGGCCACGCAGACGGTGATCGCGGCGGCCATCGCGCTCCTGACGCTGACGGCGATGCTGCTGGCGACCCTCATCTGTCGCCGGCGCCGGCGGCGGAAAAAGGCGCCCGGGCCGCCGGGGGAGGGCGCGCTGTTCGTCAACGACTACTCGGACGGGCCCTGCACCTCCGCGCAGCTGGAGGAGCTCCGCGGCGAGCGGGGCCACGAGATGTTCGTCATCGACCGCTCCAAGCCGCTCTTCGCCGAGGCCCCAGCACATGGCGCGGCGCCCGGTCCGGCGCAGGGGTTCGCACTGCAGCCTCCCGCCGCCTATGAGATCCACTGCTGAGGGCGGGGCGGGCGACGCGCGCTGATGACGCAGGCCCGGCGGACTGGCCAGTCGGCGGACTCCGTTCGCGCATGCTCCAGCGTGATCAGTAAAGGGTGGAAGCTGCGCGGTGTGAACCGAGCTGTGTGTGAGGTCTGGGGACCGAGGGCGAGGGGGGTGCAGGCACCCCGAGCGCCGTAGCTTTGCAGACACAAGTCCTGGGGTGCAAACGTTGGATGGCCAGGGAGGCTCCTAACACCCCCACTGAGGTTCTCCTCTGGTGCTGTGAAGATGCCCAGACCTGCTGGGAATGCCCAGGGGAGGGAGAGCAGCCTGGAAGACAGTTGTTACCGGGGCCATACTGGGTGTAGCAGCAGAGCCAGGGACAACTCGCTGACCAATGAGGACAGAAAAAACAGGCACAAATTTAAGTTCCAAACACACTGCGCATTTGTACCGTAATAACATGGTCTGGCCCCAAAGCCCAGCCGACAGACTCCTGAGAGCCAGGACAGGGAAAATCATGACAGGGCCCCAGTGCATAGGGCCAACCTCCTTGAAGCAGGCCAGTCCCAACTTCAACGCAGGGCAGTCTGCTCTGGAAAAGGGCCCAGAGGGAACACCCTCTCTCAGCTCAGAGATGGGACCCAAGGAGCATTCTGAAGAGGACTAGGGCACCAGCGGGTAGCCAAGTGCAGAATAAGCAAGCAGGGCTGGGCAGGTCTGGAATTCAGACCTCAGGCCCACAGATGGGTGAACAGTCAGGGGAGCAAGTGCAGGACAAAACTGCGCAGGGTACTACAGAATGCGCAGGGAGGTTCAAGGTGCACCCAAGGGGCACAAAAACCAGACACCAGTGCCTTTGCGTCAGCCTCTAACAGGGTCCCAGCCAAGGCTGTGCCTACCCAGGAGGGGGAGGGGCCTCCAGCAGCCCCGGACTCTGGGACAGTCTGTTTCTCGCCCAGAAGCCCAGAGATCACAAACTGAAGTAGTCTGCAGCCAGGCGACCATAGATGTCCGTGGTCCAGACCACATGGGCACGGCCGGAGGCTAGCAGCAGCTGGTGCAACTCAGCCTCCACACGGGCAAATTTCTCCTCATTGATGGAGGCCTCCAGCAGAACAGAGGCAGGTGGTGGCCAGGGCAGGCCCTCGTAGCAGTCCACAGGGAAGGGGTGCACCACTGTGCGCAGCTCGGCCTGTGCCACCGAGTCCCGCAGGAGCTCCTTCAGACCTGCCATGGAGAGCGGGTTGCCGTAGAGGCCGAGGTAGCGGAGGCGGGCGCAGCGGGTCAGCACGGGGAGCACGGCCAGCAGCTGGGCGTCAGCAAGCTGGCACTCGGTCAGCTCGAGGTGCAGCAGCGTGGCCGCCGCCGCCTGCAGCAGGCCCTGGAAAGGCTCCAGCTGGCTGCCCGACAGGTCGTTGCCACTCAGGTCCAACTTCTTGAGGTGGACGGCATGGGGGCTGCGTGCCAGGAAGCGCAGGTCCTCCGGCAGCAGAGCACAGAAGGCCAGCTCCAGGCTCTCCAGGGGGCTCTGCAGAGTGCTGCAGGTAAAGCCAGGGGTGATGAACAGGCAGGCAGGGGACCGTCTTGGGGAGGGGAGAGGCAGAACAGTAGTAGGGCCCACTCACCTGAGCAGCTGGTCCAGCCGCCCTGAGAGGAGAGAGGAGCCCATGCTGAGCTCCCGCAGGCAGGTGAAGCGGCCCATTTGGGCCAGGAAGTATCGGAAGTTGTCCTCGCCATCCACGGAGGGCTGCCGTGAGTCCCCGTGGACATAGTGCAGCCGCAGGCTGGCCAAGCGCTGGAAGCGGGCCACGTGAGGGATGATGACGGACAGGCCGCGCAGCCCCAAGTTGTTGAAGCGCAGGTCCACGCGGCGCAGGCAGCCCGCGTCCAGCAGCTGCAGCAGGGCCACAGTGTTCCGCATGGGCAGGTCCTCAGCCCGCAGGTCGCGGCAGCACAGCCGCAGCGGGCTGCCTGCGCCGCTGCGCAGGGCCTCCCGCAGGAACTCGTAGGAGGCCCGGTTCACCCGAAGGTCCACACGCACCTCCACGGGAGCGGGGCCCGGCCCAGGCTCCGCAGTCCCGCCTTGCTGCTGTGCGATGCACGTGCGGGCCACAGCTGCTGTGCAGTCCCACATGCTCATGGTGCCGGGGTCCTGCTCCACACCGTCGTCCAGGAGGCCCGTCATGTCCAGCACCCGCAGTGCGTGCTTCCTGGGAGCACAGGTGGGCTGAGTGAGAAAGGTGATAAGAGGGAGAGCCCACACCCAACCCCAGCCACCTTGGGACAGAAGCAACATGCCTGTTCCTGCACTGAGCTCTTAACACCAGCCTGAAGCCTCTCTGGGGACCCTTTCTGCACATCCCAAGCCTGAGGGCCCCTCAGGCGAGCCCATACCTGCAAAAAGACCGTGTGCCAGCCTCAGCCTCTGGGGTGTGGAGCCGGGCTGTGAGCCCCAGGATCACAGCCTGCATGCTCTCTGTGCTGGGCCGCTCCTGCAGCAGGGCCCGGCTGCAATGGGCACACTCCTGCAGCAGCTGCTGGAAGCTGAGCAGGGGGAAGGGCCATGTGTGCACCAGTTCGCGTAGCACAACAGTCTTCTTGTCCATGAAGGCCACCTTGAACAGCAGGGGGAAGAGCTCGCGTGGGAGCAGGGGCAGAGCCTGGCAGGCCGCGGGCTGGCACTGGAGCACCTGCCGCGTGCTCAAGAACACAAGCGTGTGCATGGTGCCAGGCAGGGCAGGAGGCCACCTGCAGGGAAGAGACCTTCAGCGGGGAGGACAGACCCCAGGCTACCACCTGCCACAGACTCCTCCACACACTAGTAGCAGGAAAGCCCAGCCCAGTACCTGCCAGTCAGTGGTCCGTGGGACCACAGCTCTGAAGAGTAAGTGCTAGGTGCCTAGCAATGGGCTAGGCAGAGTGCAAAGGGGGACAAGGCCACCCCCTAGTTCCCACATGGGGGCCTGTTTAGGAAAACAAAGCCATCAAGCAGCACGGAACAGCAGGGCCCCAGAGAGGACCCGCCCACCTGGTGTGCTTTTGACAGCTGTTGGCTGCAGGGCCTCCCCCACCCTTACTTCAGGCCTCTCAAATTACAAAGCAGCTTATGAGAGATCCTCTCTCAAAAGTAAAATAAGGTTCTGGCCCCTCCCCCTCCACAAGCACTAGAAGGGTGGGATCCTGGGGAGAGAGGCTGGAAGCTGCATCCCAGTTCGCTCCCGTACCCTCCTCAGAAGCTACTGCAGGCTGTCCCAGGACCCTGCGCAGCAGCAGAGAGGAGCTGGACGCACAGATGCTCCTCAATAAACACCAGGGCAAGTGTAAAGGACCGGGACCCAGGAAACAGAGTCCAGATGACCTGAGTAACCCAAGCCCTCAACATGACCCTTCGTCCTAACTTCTATATCCAGACGTGTTGCTAGGCATGGAAACCCCTGGAAAGCAACCCTCACCGACTGAGGGCCTTAGCAGCTGTCTAAACATCTCCCTCCTCCCTGAAGAACCAAGTCAAGAAACCAAGTTTCAAACCCATAGATGCAGGAGGCCCAGGCCGGAAAACTGCTCAAATAGTTAGAGGCCACTGCCAAAGGGGCATTCAAGCTAACGGGAGGCACAAGACGATGCCTCCGGCCGCAGGAACCTGTGTCAGCTCTGCTGCTGAATCAGAGCATCTCATCCCCCAAACCGCCTCCCGGTCACAGGAAGCAGAACAGATGAGGAGGAGGGACGAGGCCTCCCCGGCCAGGGCCGCAGCCTGGGTGATGGAAGCCTGGGCGGGGAAGGGCGTCTGGCCCCAGACCTCACACAGAACCTAAGCCCTGAGCACAGCGGCTCCCGAGAAGCCCTGACGCCAGCCTCGGCCGCGCTCTGCCCGTGGACAAATCTCGCGAGGACGATGCATCCCTCGCCGAGAAAGGACAGACCCACCGAGCACCTGTCACGAGAGGAAACGCAAGCAGCCCGTGTGATCACCGGGGGAGGAGCCCCTACGCCGGCCCGTCGTGCCCGGCGTTTTCCGAAGGCGCCCCGCACCGCCTCCTGGCCTCGGGGAGGCGCTCGCCCCGACCCCTCCTCCTCCTGGCGCGTCGCCCCAGGGCCCGAGCCGTGCAGCCCGCGTGGGGACCCGCGTCCTCTCCCGCCCACAGCCCCACCGCCCGTGTCCTGCGGCCTGGCAGGGCCGGGAGCGCACGGCCCCGCTCAGTCCTTGCAGGCGGCCCGCGCTCACCGGCCCGCAGCAGCCTCCGCCGCCGTCAGCACCGCCCCACCCCGCGCGCCGTGATGACGTCATCTACCCCCCATTGGCCGCCGCTCCAGGACCTCGGGGATTGGCTGCCCCAGCTTTGCGTTGGCTCCGACGCCCCGCCCCCGACCGCGCCGAGTCCCCATTGGCTGCCGGCCGGCGGCCTTCTCGCGGCGGGAGAATCGCTGGGCCCCGAGCGGAGGCCGCGCGCGGGGCCGGCTCGCCATGGAGCGACTGCGGGAGGTGCGGGCGCACCTGCAGGCGTGGGAGCGCGCGTTCCGGCGGCAGCGCGGGCGGCGGCCGGTGCAGGTACGGGCTGCCCGGGGGCGGGAGGCTGCTGGGGTGGCCCCGGCTGACGCGCTCCCTTCACAGGAGGACGTGGAAGCGGCGCCCGAGGAGACCCGCGGTGAGCGCCGGGCGGCGGGGCCACCGGGTGGAGGCACGAGGGGTGAGGGAGCCGAGCGGGCACCACCGAACCCTGACCCCTGACCCGCCCCCAGCGCTCTACCGGGAGTACCGCGCCCTGAAGGAGACCCTGCGTCCGGTCAGCGGCGCTGGACCCCGCGGCCCCGTGCAGGCGCTCCCGGAGGCGGCCGAGGAGGTACCGCGGCCCCGTACCCTAGCCTCCCGGCGTAGCTTTCTGTGTGGCGGGGAGCTCCGTGGGGCACAGAATTTGGGGGGAGGAGGGGAGGGCCCGGCTCCCTCCCGGTCTCGGAGGGACTGGGGCGAGGGGCTGGAGACACCTCTGTCCCCCACACCAGCCTTGCCGACCCCACTGTCTCCTCCTGCAGGTGCCCGAGCCCAGCTGCTGGGGCTCCCACCTGAATCGGGCTGTAACCCAGAGTCTCCCCGCTGCTGTCGCGCCGAGCCCTCGCGGGTCTGTGCCGGACTATGGGAAGCGGCTCAAGGCAAACCTGAAGGACGCTCTGCAGGTGAGGACAAGAGCCACGGAGACGTCCACCCGGGGTCCAGAACTGCCCTCGGCCCAGGGGCTGGACCAGCAGACACCCCCGCACAGGTGCCCCTGCTCTCACCAGCGCGCACACGCCTCCCGCACGTACCAGGCCTGGCTTCTGAAAGGAGGTCACAGTCCGTTTCTGGGATCAGCTCCCTTTCCCTTCCAGCCGCACTGAGGGGTCAGGCGGGGACTCTGCAGGGGGCAGGATCTTTGGCAGCCCAGGGCCTGAACTCCTGCTTGCTTGTCTGTTCTCCTCTTTCCAGGCTGGGCCAGCCCTGCGCCGAATCCCCCGGCCTCCGCAAAGACCCCCACCCAAGGTGCCTTCCCCAGGGCTGCCAGCTGCAGGGGCTGACCCCGTGTCTCCTGAAGAAGTCAGTGAGGTGCTGCCCCAGCTCCCCAGGGCCCAGCTAAGGCCAGGCCGGCTCCAGCAGCTGCAGGAGTCCCTGAGCCTGCGGCTGGGCTCCCTCGATCCTGGCTGGCTACAGAGGTGTCACAACGAGACCCAAGGTTTTCTGGTGACTTCCGAGGCCTGCCAGCCTGTCCTGGGTACAGAGGAGCCACCGCCCCTGACTTCAGGTGTTCCCTCTGGTCCTGGCCCCAGCACAGGCCCTGAGGCACCTTTTCTGGGCTCAGAGGCTCCAGCTATGAAGGTACCTGGGGTCAGTGCAGGGAACCCCCTACTAGGCAGCAGGCAAGGCAAGAAGCGGAGAAAGAGTGGGGAGCCAAAGGGGACGGCTGCTGCCCAGGCCCATCCGCACAGCAGCCGAGAAGGCTCCCCGCCAGAGGGAGCTGGGGCTGTACTGCCTGCAGGAGAGCGTCCAGGGGAGCCCATGCCGGCGCAGCTCCTCCCCGGCCCCTCAGCCCCCAGGTAATGCAATGCAGCCTCCCAGCAGGGTCCTCTTGAGTTGGGCCAAGGTGGGGCTGCTGTGGGCAAGGCACACCTGTATGTCCCTTCTAGGCCAGCTGTCCGGGACAGGGGTAATTACGTTCGGCTCAACCTGAAGCAGAAACGCTATGTCCGGGGCCCAGCCCTGCGTGGCAGACTCCTCCGAAAGCAGGTGAGGTTGTGGCAGGCACTCCCCTCACCCCTCCTGCCTCTCGCCTTGTGACCCTCCTTTGTGCCCCACCCCAGGCATGGAAGCAGAAATGGAAGAAGAAGGCAGAACATTTGGGGGGTGGTCAGCCCAATGCCCCAGTCAAGGATTCTTGCTTCCGGTGTGGGCAGCTCGGCCACTGGGCATCCCAATGCCCCAGACCAGGTGAGGCTTCTGTGCTGGTGTGTTGGGCCAACACTGCTTGGAGAGGGTGTTGTGCTCTTTGGGGTCTGACTGAAGCAAAAAGCCCTCCTAACTCCGTACCCCAGGCCCCAAACCTACCCGGGTCCCCAAGGAGGAGGGTGGCAAAGACGAAGATGACAGGCAGATGCTGCCCACGTTAGCGGCAGTAGCTCAGAGGACACACGCTGCCTGCAGCCAGCTCCGTGGTGAGTGGAAGCCGCCTTCTTGCTAGAATGACGCCAGACCAGCCTGGAGCTCCCATAACACCCTCTCCTGTCCACCCCCCACAGGTGAGGAAGATACAGATCCTGCTGGGTCTGAGCTGCTAGTGCCCATGGAGGCACCTGTGCCTGGGGGACCCTGCCCATCCCCAGCTGTGCCGCCACTCTACCTGCCGGGTCCCTTGGGGCAGGTGGCAGGTGAGCAGATGCCTACCAGCCTAGGACCTTTACCGAAAGGTGGGGGCGACTCGGCCATGCTGACCCCACATCTGTGTACACAGCGACGCCAGTTGAGGTGTTGCAGGCCCTGGAGCAGCTGGGGCACCGAGCCTTCCGCCCTGGGCAGGAGCACACAGTCATGCGAATCCTGTCTGGTGAGCATGGCTGCCGGGGGAGTGAGGCGGGGCTGAGGCCAGGCTGCAGAGCCTCACTGCTGACCTGGCTCCCGTCCAGGCATGTCCACACTGCTGGTGCTGCCCACCGGTGCCGGCAAGTCCCTGTGCTACCAACTCCCTGCGCTGCTCTACGCCCAGCGAAGCCCCTGTCTCACGCTGGTCATCTCTCCTCTCCTGTCCCTCATGGACGACCAGGTGTGTGCACAGGCCCAGCAGCACAGCAGCCAAGTACACACAGGACCCTCAGGTGTGGGTGGAAGGCACGCACCGGCACCCCAGGCTTTGCTGTCCCTTTGGGCTGCTGCTTCTTACCCCACCGGCATCCTGGAGCTGTGGGGGTCCCGACAGTTCTCGGCCCACCAGCTCTGTCCACAGCCCTCAGCCTGGAAGTGGCCTGAGGACAGCAGGGACATGGCTGGCCAGAACCTCCCCTAAAAGGAGACATCCTCAATGAGGCCTGTTTGTTCCCAGTGCCTGAGCCCAGGCCCAGCGGCAGCTCCGAACTCTTAGTTCCAGAGTCTGGGTGTTTTCTCCTCATGAGACTTGGGGTGAATAGAGCAGTCACTATCGAGCTGAGCGACTTGGAGAGACATTTGGGGGAGGCCGGGGCTGGATGGCCTTCAACAGACTGGCTCCTGTGTCTGCAGGTGTCTGGCCTGCCCCGAGGCCTGAAGGCGGCTTGTGTACACTCGGGCATGACAAGGAAGCAGCGAGACTCCGCCCTGCAGAGGGTGAGGGGCCTCCCAGAGCAAGACCCTTGGGGGCAACAGGCGGGGCCCTGGGCAGTGGTCCTGACCTTGCTGTTCACAGGCTCGGGCAGGCCAGGTACACGTGCTGATGCTGTCACCCGAGGCATTGGTTGGAGCTGGGACCGGGAGCCCTGCCTGCCTCACTCAGCTGCCCCCAGTGGCCTTTGTCTGTATTGACGAAGCCCACTGCCTCTCTCAGTGGTCCCACAACTTCAGACCCTGCTATCTACGTGTCTGCAAGGTGAGCCTTGTCCTGAATACGGGTGAGTAGGTCTGGGGGGAGTGGGCATCCTTACTACCCCGCTCTGCACAGGTGCTGCGGGATAGCCTGGGTGTGCGCTGCTTCCTGGGTCTCACAGCCACAGCCACACGCAGCACCACTCTCGACGTGGCCGAGCACCTGGGCATAGCCAAGGAGGGTGTCCTCAGGGGACCGATCACCATCCCTGCCAACCTGCACCTTTCTGTGTCCATGGACAGGGACCCAGACCAGGTAGGTATGCACACACCCGGTAGAGGCTTTGTTTCCTGACTGTCCACACTGACCACTGTCCCTCGCCAGGCTCTGGTGACACTGCTGCAGGGGGACCGCTTCCGCACCCTGGACTCCGTCATCGTCTACTGCAACAGGCGTGAGGACACTGTGCGGGTCTCCGCTCTGCTGCGCACCTGTTTGCCTGAGGCCAGGGCTCCCGGGCCTGGAGGTGAGGCTGGGCGGGCTGTGCCCCACAGACTTTCCCATGCAGACAGCCCACCAACCATCTGTGTCTTTCCTGCAGGCCGGGCCCCGGCGGCTGTGGCTGAAGCCTACCATGCCGGCATGTGCAGCCGGGAGCGGCGGCGGGTGCAGCGGGCCTTCATGGAGGGCCGGTTGCGGGTGGTCGTGGCCACAGTGGCCTTTGGGATGGGATTGGACCGGCCAGATGTGCGGGCTGTTCTGCACCTGGGGCTCCCCCCGAGTTTTGAGAGCTACATTCAGGCCGTGGGCCGGGCTGGGCGTGATGGGCAGCCTGCACACTGCCACCTCTTCCTGCAGCCCCAGGTTGGTGCCCACCAGCTCGAACTCCCTCCCACGCCCCCGTGCCTCGGCCACACGCTCACAGCCACCCTGCTGCAGGGCGAGGACCTTCGGGAGCTGCGCAGACACGTGCATGCCAACGCCATTGACTTCCTTGCTGTGAAGAAGCTGGTGCAGCGTGCGTTCCCGCCCTGCACCTGTGCCCGGTGGCGGTCTGAGCAGGAGGGAGGCGAGCGACAGGAGGGAGGCTCCTCCAAGCAACCCAGCCATGAGCAAACAGCCCGGTGCCCGGGCCACAAGCGGGCACTCCCAGTGCAGCCGACAGTGCAGGCTCTGGACATGCCTGAGGAGGGTGAGGAACTGGGGCAGGTGTTGGGGGGCACCTCACATTCCCATGTCCCCTGAGCCCTGCTCTTCCCCCAGTCATTGAGACTCTTCTGTGCTACTTGGAGCTGCACCCACAGCACTGGCTGGAGCTGCTGGCACCCACTTACACTCACTGCTGCGTGCGATGCCCTGGGGGCCCCACCCAGCTCCAGGCCCTGGCCAGCAGGTGAACACACGTCCTACCCCAGAATGGTGACAGGGACAGAGGACTTGGGCTACCAATCACTCACACCTTCCCCTGGCATAGGTGTGTCCCCTTGGCTGCGTGCTTGGCCCAGCAGCTGCCTGGGAACACAGGTGGGGGAAGCAGCACTGTGGAGTTTGACGTGGTTGAGCTGGTGGACTCCATGGGCTGGGAGCTGGCCCCCGTGCGGAAGGCCCTCCACCAACTGCAGTGGAACCCAGAGCCCAGGAAAGGTGCGCCCCCACCCTTGGCCCTGCCTGCCACCTGCCTGCCCACTTGCCCATCTGACACGCTCTTTGGCAGGTGTGCCTCGGGGCACAGGGGTGCTGGTGGAGTTCAGCGAGCTGGCCTTCTACCTGCACAGCCCTGGAGACCTGACCGCCCAGGAAAAGGACCAGATCTGTGGCTTCCTTCATGACCGAGTGCAGGCCAGAGAGCGGGAGTCCCTGGCCTGTCTGCGCCTTATGTTCCAGGCCTTTCACAGGTGCAGGGGTGGGTGGGCAGAGCGTGGTTCCCCAACCCCCACCCCAGGGGGTGGCTCTGACGAGCTCATCCCACCCCAGCGTAGCCTTCCCCAGCTGCGGGCCATGCTTGGAGAAGCCGGACGATGACCGCAGCACCAGGCTCAAGGCCCTGCTCAGCCACTACTTTGAGGAAGAGGGACCAGGGGGTGAGGAGGAAGCACAGGGCCCAGAGCCGGGACAGGCCAAGGTGAGTGCTAGCCACTCCTGGGGCCGGGGCAAGGTCAGGCAGCCGAACGTCTGTGTGCACACCTCCTGCCCAGCCTCCAGCTGTGGAGCTTGGTGGTCTGGAAGCTCAGGTTGTGCTGATTCGCTCCCACCCTCTCAGCTCCAGGACTGGGAGGACCAGATCCGAAGGGACGTCCGCCACTTCCTGTCCTCGTGGCCAGAGCAGCAGTTCTCAGGCAGGGCTGTGGCCCGCATCTTTCATGGCATCGGTGAGGGCCTGGGCGGCTCAGCCCCACCGGGTGGGCAGGGGGCTGGACCCAGTTGACAGTCCTCAGGGCCATGTACCCCATTCCACCGCAGGAAGCCCCTGCTTTCCAGCCCAGGTGTATGGACGGGACCAGCGCTTCTGGAGGAAGTACCTGCACCTGAACTTCCACGCCCTGATCAAGCTGGCCACCGAGGAGATCCTGCTGTGGGGCCGCTGACACCTGGCCCCAGGCAGGCCCTGTCCCCCATGTCAGACACAGGTGTGAACAGGCACATGGAGAGTGGCAGGTGCAAGACCCAAGACGAGGGGCTGTCAGTGGCTGGGACAGTGGCTGACCTTGGACAAAGCCTACTGCCCGGATGTGGGCACAAGGAGGCCCCAAAATACAAAATAGAAGATGCTGGAGTTGTTGCAGGGACCCTCCTTTTCGGTGCGGCGGTGCCACAGTCTGGGCAGCCTTGAGCACCACACATCCCAGACAGACACAAGCAGGCCGGTCGGTCACACTTGGTTTTACTGACTAGTCTTACCACCCAGCTCAGGCCAGGGCTCTGGGTGCCAGGCTCAGGTACAGAATGGGTATGGCTGAGAGAGCAAGGAAGAGCGAGAAACAGAAGTGCAGGCCCAGGCTGTCGGCCAGGGCTCCAGCCAGTGTGCCCAGCAGCAGCTTCCCCAGCAGCTCCAGTGTGGCCAGGAGGCTGTAGTGTGTGGCCTGCCGGGCAAGGGGTGGGGGTGGGGTTAGGACTTGCTTGGACCTCAGCCCTGCATCCCCTTGGTGTCCTGGCCATGACCCCTCACCTGCAAGGCACTAGGTGCCAGCTGGCTGCAGCACATCATCAGAGTGAAGGTGGCGGTTGTGACCAGGCCCCCCAAGAAGTGCTGCAGACACAGGCTCAGCAAGACTGCCCCTGGAAGGACCAAAGTCAGCAGGGCCCAGGATGTGCAGTGCTCTTCCCCATGCCCAATGCCCAGCCCCTCACCTCTCAGGACTGTGCCAGGGTCCAGCCTGGCCCACGGGGTGTCCAAGTAGAAGAGCAGAGTGGACTGGCAGGCAAGGCCTCCAAGACGGAACTGAAGTACTGACCTCAGCAGGGGAAGCAGCTTCCTGGGTGGGGAGACTGGGCAGGTCAGGGGCTTGGGGAGATTGGGGGTGAGCAGGTGAGTGGGACAGGCTGAGAAGGCTCACCGGTGTCCGGACAGCAGGGCCCCACCCAGGGACGAGCCAGCAATGGAGCAGGCCATGGCACCCACACTGTTCCACAGCCCCAGCTCCGGCGCGGAGAGGCCTCGGTCCAGCAAGAGGAGTGGGAACAGGCTGCTGGCACCCTGCTCACCTGTGGGGAGAACATGAGTGGGAGTACAACCGCCTCCCTTTTCCACCTGGGACCGTGGTCATGCTCCCCAGCCGGCTGCTACCCTGCCTCTGGTGCTGATGGTAGAAAGGGCATCAGCAGGACCCAGGGATTGTGGCTGGAGCTCAGTGGCACAACATAAAGCCCCACTGTTGGGCATACCCCAGAAAGAGGATGGCCCTGCCAGGTGTTCCTGGGGACCCACCTGGAGGTCCTCACCCCTGCTATCGCCTGACTCAAGCCCTCACTCACCCAGTTTGTAAGTGAGCACAAAGCCAGCGGTCCACAGGGTCCCGGACACAGTTAGCAAGTCCTGCAGAAGGTGCAGGGTGTGTGGGGGGAGTTCTGAGGGCTGAGGCGAGGGCAATTGTTGCAGGGCGGGTGTAGACCAAGCCAGAGCAGCAGCCAGCCAGTAGGTGGCAGCCAGGAGCACAAACAGCTGGGGCCAGGAGAGGGTGGGCACCAGGGCCAGCAGCCCACCACCCGCCAGCACCGACCCCAGCTTGTACGCAACCACCTGCACGGTATTGCCAGGCCCCAGCTCCGCCGGTTCCAGGAGCTGCATGGCTAGTGTGTCGAGGGCAACGTCCTGCACGGCTGCACCCAGGTTCAGCAACAGCAGCAGCCCTGCCACAGTAACCGGAAGCTCCGCCTGGCCACCTTCAGCCGGAGGCAGAGCTGCCAGCAGCCCGCACACCAGGCCCAGAGCAGCCGTGCTGAGCGTCAGCCAGGCCCTGGGGGAGCCCCGCGTGCCCACCAGCGGGGCCCACACCAGCTTGAACAGCCAGGGCGCGTACAGCACCTTGGTCAGTCCCACGCGAGTCAGGGAGAGGCCGCCCGCTCGCAGCAGCACGGGCAGCAGGCCAGACTGCAACCCGTAGGGCAGGCCCTGCACCAGGTAGAGGCCGGCCAGCGGCAGCAGCTTCCCACGCATGGTCGGGGCTGGGGCCGAGTTCAAGGCTGGGCGTGGAGCGGGACGGGCAAAACGGTTCCGTGTCTGGTCTGGTCAAGGGTCACAGACGGCATGGCCTTTGGACTGGGCCGGGCAGGGTCAGGGTTAGACTGGCTTCCGACCCGCAGAGCCGCAGGCCGTGCTCCGCTCCCGGGACCCAGTGGACCATAGAGCGCCAGTGGGCCAGAGCGGCCGAGTGCGCCGGCGCCCCCGGTGGCCCACCTGGGTACTGCGTCCGGAGTAGAAAGCGGCAATGGGACCCATTCTGGTCCTTCTCAGGGTTGTCAGGTCCGCCCCCAGACCTCGGGGACCTAGACCCAAAGGCTGCACAAGTGTTTCCCGGCATCTCCCCAGTGGCCGCAGCCTCTCCAGCACCCCCTCTGCTCCCCATGGAGGAACTGGTTCAAGTTACACTGTCCGGCCCAAGGCCCTGGCTGTGCTTGTGTTTCAGCAGCTCCCCTGCCCAGCCCACTCCAGCTGGCCCTGCGGAGACACGTCCATCCAAGCAGAAGCCAAATGTGGGTTCTTTTGTGGCCTCTCCTGCCCAGAGCTACACACACACACACACACACACACACACACACACCGCACACCCGTGCCCGTGGCTAAGAACTGCCTCGGGTTTCTGAGCCCGTGGGTCCCTGAAGCTGACCCTAGACTAGGATCTAGGCCCGGCCTAGATCCACCTACAGGCTCGAATCAATGCGCTCCCTCAACTGCTGGGGTCACTGTGAGTGGGTTTCCTGTTATTTCTTGCATATTTTGGGGTCCCAAGTTTCCTCGTCTTTAAAATAGGGACTGCCGCCCTGGCCATGTGGCTCAGCTGGCTTCGCGTTGTCCCATGGCCAGAGGTGGCCAGATTCCGGGTCAGGGCATTGCCTGTTGCAGGCTCTATCGCCAGTAGAGGGCGTGCAGAAGGCAGCCACTCGATGGTCCTCATGGATGTTTCCCTCTCTCTAAAATCAATAAAAAATATTTTAAAATGAATAAATAAAACAGGGACTACCATGATGCCTCCCTCAGCGACACGCAGCAGGCATCATCTGCATGTTCCAGTGGCAAGGACACCGGGCTGCCCACCTCCCGTCCCGGGTCCTCCAGCCCAGCCATCCCCGGGGTCTCCTCAGCATCGCACCTGCTCCCTTCACCCTCGGGGGCTCTGGCTCGGGAGGGCCTCCCCTCACTGCCTCCCGGCCCTCGGGCTGCATGTGCACGCCGATGCCACACACATTCACCACACGCTTCAAACACAACCCAGGCGGAGAGACCCATTTGTTCCTCGGCTCCCCCAGCAGTGGGGGGGGGGGGGGGGGGCAGTCAGGACACCAAGCCTGTCGCTGAGCCCCCATGTGCAGAGCCAGACTCCCGGCGGTGGCGGAAGGGCACGACCATTCCTCTGGACGGCAGACCAGGCCCCAGGAGGCAGGGAAGGCACACACAGGGGTGCACACGCCAAGTGTCAGGCTCTCACAGCTTTATTAGAGGCCGGCAGAGGGGCACGTGCCCAGCCCACAGGTCGCGGGGCACCTCGAACCCAGGCCACTGTCACCCAGGCCTGGTCCCCAGAGGGCTCAGGAGTACTCGCGGGTGAACTTGGCGTGGAACTGGCTCAGCTTTTCCAAAAGGGGACGCAGTTTCTCCGCGGCGGGCAGGATGGTCATCCTAAAAGCGGAGGAAGGTAAGTGAAGAGCAAAGGGCCCCGGGCCGCGGGGCGGGGCTGCGCGGCAGGGCCTCACCGGAAGTGGTAGGTGCCTTCCCGCTGACCAAAGCCACTGCCCGGCACCACGCAGATGCCCGTCTCCTCCAGCAGCCTCAGGCAGAAGAACATGTCGGGAGCCAGACCCAGCTCCTGGGGAGAGGGCGGGCGGTCAGGCGGGCGTCCCAGGCCACGCCCTCCCTGGGGCCCGGCCTGCCCGCGGGGCCCGCACCTTAGCACGCTGAATCGCGCGCGGGGGCAGCTCTATGCGCGGGAAGGAGTACATGGCGCCCTGCACCGGGTTGCAGCGGATGCCGGGAACCGCGTTGAAGACCTTCTCGGTCAGCTTGGCCTTGGCCGCCAGGTCGGCCAGCACCGCCTGCTTCTCCTGTGGAGGGAGGGCCCATCAGGCGTCGGTGCAGCGCCCCCCAGCCCGGCCGCGCACCGCCCAGCCGCCCCCCACGCCGCTCCGCTCACCGCCTGGAACTGAGTGAAGGAGGGGTCCGAGGGCTCAGGCGGGCTGACCACCATGTCCAGCACGGCCTGGCCCGGCAGCGGTGGGCACAGCCGCACGCTCATCATCTTCTGCATCTGCTGCTGCACCGCGGGGTCCATGTTCACCACCTCCACGTAGCCGCCGCGGAGCCCGCACCTGCGAGGCGGAGGCAAGCGTCCAGGCAGGGCCGCAAGGGGCGGCTGGCCGGGTCAGAGAGGCCCCGCCCAGGGTCTGGCCCGCACGCACTCGCCCATGTAGCCCTTGGAGATCGAGTGGAAGGAGGCGAGCTCCTGCTGCGTCGAGTACGGCGGCCCCATCTCCATGAGCACCTTCTTGAAGGAGTGGAACTGCGAGCCCTCTGCGTACACGTTGTCCTGGTACACCTGCCGGGCGAAGGCGTCACAGGAGCCCGGGCTGGCCCCGTCCCCCCCCCCCCCCCCGCCCCCGCCCCCGCGCGCCCAGGCCAGCACCTCGTCAGCCATCAGGAAGAGCTGCTCCTCGAAGGCGAAGCGGATCACAGCCTCGATGCACTCACGGGTCTGCACCTGCCCTGGGGCGCAGGGACACGGCAAGTCCGGGGTCAGCCAGGCGCTCCAGGCTCTCAGCCGGGCGGTGGGGCGAGGACACCGGGCAGGAGGGGCAGGAGGGGCAGGATAGCGGGCGGGAGGGGCGGGGCAGGGATGGGTGGGGGCGCGCACCTGTGGGGTTGCCGGGGTTGATGATGCAGAGCGCGCGGGGGCGGCAGTGACCCCGCGCCTGGCACAGCGCGCGCCGGAGCTCCGCCACGTCCAGCGCCCAGGCGCGGTCCTCGTCCAGGTAGTAGTCCACCTGCACCGCGTTGAGCTCGGCCAGCGCCGCCGAGTAGAGCGGGTACTGAGGGATGGGGATGAGCACGCCCGTGCGGCAGCGGCCCTCGCCGGCCACCAGCAGCTTCAGCACCGTCTGCGGGGCGGACGGGGGCGGCAGAGTTGGCGGGCCCAGGGCTTCCTGTCTCCCTACCACCCCACGCCGCATGCCCGGAGAAGCCTGACCGCCGGCCACACAGAACCGCGGTGTCCGCCTGCCCGGCCCGGCCCCGCCCCGCCTACCACGATGGCATCGCTGGCCCCCGTGGACAGGAAGATGTTGTTGGGGTCCGCGGGGATGCCTCCATCGCGCCGCTGGATGTACTGCGCCACGTGCTCTCGGATGGGCTGGATGCCCGAGCTGTTGCTGTAAGCCCCTGGCCAGGGGGCGGGGGAGGCCCGTTAGGCTGCTCCCGGGAAAAGATCCTCTCCTCCCAGTGGGTGGGTCCGCCCCGCCCCTCCCTGGGACAGCCTCCTCCAGTCCTCCTCCCTGGGCTCTGCGTGGGCTCACCTAGGCTGTGGCCCCCGCACGCCTGTAGGATGCTCTCCGCCCTTCTCTTGGCATCTTCGGGGAAGTCCGGGCTGTTCAGGAGATCCGGGTGGACGCAGAGGGCCAGGACCTGGGAGGAGCGATTGCTGAGGCCAGGCTCAGGGCAAAGGGCACAGGGCATAGGGCTCAGGGCACAGGGCTGACCGGCTGACCGGGAGAGGGCGCCAGAGCAGCGCCAGCCTCACCTGGCGCAGGAAGGTGATGGGCTTCTGCCCCATGGCGTGTGCGTCCCCGATGTTGGCGCGGATGACCTCAGTGAACGGCTTCTTTACACCCTGGGAGGATGGAGGCGGGACACACACAGAATGGGCCTTCCCACTCCCGAAGGCTCCTGTCCCATGTGATGCTGGCTGCTGGGTGCTGTCTGGAGGGCTGTGGTGGGCCCAGGGCCATACCTGGCGCAGCTCCTGCTCCAGCTCCAGGGCGCGTAGCACGATGGGGCCACGGACGGCATACTCCACCCTCTTAACACAGGCGTTCATGGTGTCCAGCGTCAGCACCTTTTCCTTCGGCCCGTTCATCACAGCCAGGTTGTGGCCACCCGGCCTCGCTGCCATGACCCTGCTAAGACCGGGCAGGAGGTGGCAGGATCCAGACGTGGGAATGAGGGAAGCTGAGTCCCAGCTCAGTGGGCCTGGGCTGGTAAGGGGGAGCCTGGGTAGGGGCTCCAGGTAAGAAGGTACCCACTACACGACAGCCTGCTGGCCCCACTGAAAGGAACAGGAAAGGCTGAAGGCGGAGCTGGGGCCTCTGGGGCCACAGGGCCTGCCCCACCCATCTGGGCACAGCTCTGCCCAGGGAGCCACAGGGAGTGGGTGAGGAGGCAGGCGGGACTTGGGGCTCAGCCCAGTGCCGCCCGGCCCTGTCCCCATGACAGGAGCAGGAGACCCACATGGGGGGTAGGGACAGACGGTGCAGCAAGTTCTGAGGGACTGGGTCTGGGGGGAGGGGAGCTGGGCTGAGTGCCCCAAGGGGGTGGGCAGAGCTAGGCAGGGCTGAACCCAGAGGGGAGAATGGAGATTTACCCTAGCCGGACTAGGAGGAAGCGTAGCCCTGTGGAGTCCCCCATCTTTGCTTGGGTCAGCAGCCCTATCTCCCAGGTAACTGAGCCAAGCCTCAGGAATCCTGGGGTGCTGGGGGAGGGGGGAGGTCCTGGGTATTCCATCTGGCCCCTCCTGGGCTGGTGGTCATGGCAGGGTGGGGGCTGCAGGGGTCCGTGCTCAGGCCTTGGGCACCATCAGCACTGCGAGCCCCGAGCCCGTGTTGGGGGGGAGGCCCTTGGACACTTGTTGCCCTGCATGGGGTGCCCTTTCACCAGGCCGGCCGGGGCTGCCCTTGGGGCCACCCCACAGGCAGGGTGACCTCAGCTCTACTTCCCGTGGCTGCTAATTGGTGGAGAGCGGGGAGTGAGCAGTGATAGGCCCTCAGAGCCCCACCCCCACAGGCCCTGCCCAGGGTGGCCACTCCAGCTATGGCATCTGACGCTGAGCCAGGGACTGAGCTGAGGGTCAGGGAGCCTGCATCCATGCTGTCCTGTGGGCCGCTGGTCAGGCCAGAGGGGAGCCCGGCTGTTCAGCTCCTGCTAGTTGGAGAGGACACAGGGGCCCGAGCGCCAGCCTCACGCTCACCTCGCACCTTCTGCTCCGCTGCCACTCCACTGCCTCCTCAGCCTTCCTGTGAGCAAGCCTGTCCCTCTGGCCCCCAGGCCAGAGTGCAGGTTAATATGGGCCCAGCCCCAGGCGGAGCCAGCCCCTCCCACCCTGGCAGCTTGGTGCAGGTGGACTTGGGCAGCAGCACCAGCCCCACACTAAATGTAACCAGCAGCTCACACCTGGCTCTCCCCCAGGTTCGACACCCCTCCCACCGCAAGGCTCAGGGGAGGGCTGGCCTGTGGACAATGGGCGGACCAGGTTGGTGTTCAGTGAGGAGGGGAAGGTCACCTGAGCCCATGCCATCCAGCGCTGGTGGCCATGCAGAACCCCCCTCCATGGACTGATGAGATGGCAGTGCCCTCAGCCCCCCCACGCAAGGCCCCTAAGGGACCCCTGTCACCCTGACACATCGTACCCAGCCAGCTCAGAGCTTGAGTGGCCAACTGCTGGCCCCCTTTGCCAGCACAGGGAAAATCTGGCAGCTAGGCCCCAGGACTGGGCTGCATGCCAAGGATGGAGGACCTGCCCCCCAGGTTTCTGACACTAGCCTTGTATGTCTTTGCCCCTCCCTCCCCAAACCAGGATCTCTGCTCCCCTGGCACACATCCCTGTCCCCAGGGAGTGTCCTTCCGCAGCTCCTTGAGGACAGCAAAGAGTTACAGAGGAGCCGCCAGGAGCCTGGGAAGGCAGGGCAGTGAGGGCCAGGCTTCCTGCCCGGCATCTGTGGGCCTCACTCCCACATGGGCTGGGCCACCACCAGCGAGCCCTAGCGTGCACCCACAGGCCCGATGACTGCGCACAGGGACGGTGCACCCAGGCCCAGCACACAGCAACTCCCATGGGGACGGTGGCCCAGCTGAGACACAACAAGGCAGGTGGCAGAGGGCTCTTTATCAAGAGTCACAGGCTGACACGAGGTCTCTGTAGCTAGGTGCCCCCCCAGGTATGGCTTCTGCCAAGGCCCATTCCTGCCTGCGGAGGCGGGGTCCCAGATGGCTGGCTGCCTGCCCACAGGGCACACGTCGGGATCGCCAGCAAAAGGCCTGGCAGCAGAGCCTGGGCAGCCCGAGCGCCAGCCCCTCACATGAGCCGGCAGCAGGGCCTCTTCTCCACGGGGGCCTCCTCCGAGGGGGCTGTAAGCTTGAGCAGGGGCGGGTCCCCACCAGCCCTGGAGCCACACTCAGGCTGGGGGGCCTCTGTGTCCGCAGACAGACCAGACCCGGGGGCCTCGGGCCCGCGCTGCAGCTTAGCAGCTGCTCGCTGGCGCTTGAGCTCCGCCAAGGTGTGGTGGGCCTTGGTGCGGCCGAGGCTGTGGCCCAGGCTGTCGGGGGCCACGCTCTCCGGGGGGCTCAGCTGGTAGGAGACACTCCGGTCAAGCCGCTTGGAGTACAGGTGCCGTCCAGGGGTGCCCCCAACTCGGCCGTTGTGTGGCCTAGACACTTCGGAGTCCTCCTCCTGTAAGGGGAGCGTGGGCCCCAGAGGCCATTCAGGGGGACCCTGTCTGGCCTCCCCTGGTCCTGGGCACACTGCTTTGTGGTAAAGGGGAGTCACGGGGGTAGGGCACCAGCTGATCTATGGTGCAGGGTCACTGATCCACTGGCTCCTGGGTCAAGGCCTGCTCCACAGTGAGGGGGAGGGGCTCACCTCAGGGGGCGGTGGCCTGAGCTCAGTGTCTGTCTGGCCATCCTCATCCTCCTCTTGGGGCTCTGGGCTGGTGGGAGGTGGCTGTTGCCACACAATGGCCTCCTGGGCATGCTCCTTGCGGTACAGGCTGGTGCGCTGGGTCAGACTCACCCGCCTCACCACCTTCCTGGGGGAGCACAGGGTGAGGTTGTGGAGGACACTTCCCTCCCCGTGGACTCTGCCCCAAGCTCCAGCTGGCACCATGGCCGCCACCGCTGCCGTCAGTGGGGGCAAAGGCCTGGGCATGGCCAGAGGGGTGGGGGAGGGGGGGGGGCGAGTGCTCACCCCCAGCTGCCAGCACTGGAGGTACGGCGGCGCAGCAGAGAGCGCTGGCGACCTTGGCCCCGCAAGAGTGCGTCCTGCTTGTGCTTCAGCTCCAGCAGCTTGGCCCGCACCTCCTCGTCCCCGCACAGGTCTGTGGAGAAGCGGGCAGAGGGTCAAGGGCGCCCTCCCTCTGCTCACATGCACCTCGAGGAGGTGGTCCCAGCTCACCAAGAGGCGTCTCTTCCATCAGGGACTTTCCATTGAGGTCGGCACCGTGTGCCACCAGCAGCTCCACCAGGTGCACCTGCGGGCCAGCGGACCAGGCTGCTGAGCTCCAGAGCTGGGGGACCACCGGGGCCCGGCCGCCCACGGCTCCAGCCCACTCACCTGGCCCCAGTACGCAGCAGCATGCAGCGGCTCCCAGCCGTCAAGGTCCTTGGCGCCCAGGCTGACCCGGTGCTCCAGCAGCAGGGCCGCCGCCTCGCTGAACCCGTTGGCAGCGGCGATGTGTAGCTAAGGCACAACACCCCTCCTGAGCCCTGGCCATGCCGTAGCACCCTCCACCCCTTGCGTTCCCTCGCCAGTCCTCACCAGCGTGGCCCCGTGGTCCCCAGGGGCGTCCAGGTCAGCCCCCGTCTGCAGCAGGCCTCGGATGTGCTCCAGCATGTGCAGCTCCGGCAAGGCCCGGGCCCCCTCAATGCCGTCCTGGGTGATGCCTGCAGGGCAACAGGCTCAGAGCCAGCGCCGCGGGCCCCGCCCCGGCAGCAGGTGGGAAGGTGGGATCACACTCACCCCGGTTGGCCATGGCCGTCTCCAGGCAGTCCAGCGTCTGCTCATCCTCACATAGGTCATAGGGCATGTTTCCATCGGTGTTGACTGCCAGGAGGTCAGCGCCACTGCAGGGAAGATGGACAGGTGCTGCCATAGGGCCCTCTCACCTTCTCCCTACAAGGGAGGCCCCCAGGACCCACTCAGAGGTCCTTCCCCAAAGCCTCAGCCTCGGGCTGCCTCCAGGGCATGTGGGGCCGACAATGAGGCCCAGGCCCCAGATGCTGCTGGGAGAGGCTGCCCCTGGCCGGTTGGTGCCCCTCAGCCTTAGCTCCTGTCCTCAGCCCTGCAGTCTCCTCCTGTGTCTGTAGGTTACTGGCAGCCATCAGCCCCATGAACGTGCACATTGGGCCCACCTGCCAGGAGTGGGTGATGGTACTCTGGAGGCCCCAGGGGCAGAGCCTGGGCACCAAGACAGCCCTGCAGAGCTGCAGGGAGCAGAGCTCATGTGGGAGCCTAGAGGGGGGGACACGGGTGGGTGCCCACTGTGGAGAGGAGAGGGGCTCAGTACTGCCCCTCTCCCTCGCACATACTGTCGATGCCTGGGACGCTCCACAGACAGTCTGAGCACCTAACCATCTGTCCTACTAGAGGGGTTAGAGTTGAGGCGCTGTGCGCGGGGGAGGGGGGGCTACTGGATCCAGTGAAGCCGACCATCGGCGTTCACTCCTCATGGTCAAGGCCTCACCTGGGTCCAGGTACTCCCTCCCTCCTTGACAGTTTCACCCTCATCCCTGACCAGATGGCATTTCTCTGTCCAGGGCCTGGGGAGGCCAGGAGGCCTGTGCTGGAGGTCAAGGCCCACCCTCAAGGAGCTCCTGAATTCGTGACAGTACTTCGCAGGATATACCCAGGTCAGCAGCCAGGCGGGCAGACGACCCTGTCTGGAGTGCGTGTGGCCCCTGCCCACGCCTGGCTCTCCACGCCAGGACACAGGCAGTAAGCAAAGGCCAATGGGAGCAAGAGGCAAGGGAACACTTCCCCCAGATGAGGTGCCTGGGCTGTGTCTTAGGACCAACTGCCCGCTGCCCAGCCATGGTTCTCCCTGACACAGATGCCCACTCTGGCCACACCTGCTCCCAGGGGCCCTACCGGGCAATGAGCAGCTCCACCAGGTGCAGGTGGCCGCAGGTGGCCGCAGCGTGCAGGGGGGTCCAGCTCTCACTGTCGCGAGCGTTGACCGTGGCCCCGGCCTCGAGCAGCTGTTGCACCATTTCCCGGAAGTCGTCGATGCAGCTCTGTAAACCAGGCAGCCTGAGCACCAGGCCAGCCCCCTCCACACCCCCAGCCCCCTCCACACCCCCAGCCCCCAGCCAGCTCCGCCCTCTCAGCCCCTGCAGGGCTCACCTGGTGCAGGGCCGTCAGACCATCCTCGTTGGCCAGGTCCGGGCTGACCCCGCTCTGAAGGAACTGGCGGACTGCAAGAAGGAGGGGGGTGTGCTCAGGGGGCAGGAATGGAGATCCTGCCACAGGCCGGCTCTGTCCCGGGCAGGCCCTGCACCTGAGGTTACCTGGCTGACTGCTGTGCTGTGGCTGAGAAGGACGAGGAAGATGGTGGTACAGGTGGCAGGAGGTCTCTGCCTCCAGCCCCCAGCAGGACCCACCCTTCCCAAATCCTGGCACTCCACCCCTCCTGTGTGAGCCCGGTCGCACTGGGCTCCAGACGACCCCACTCTGGCCTGGGTGTTGGCACCCTCCTCCAACCCCCCCCATGTCCCGTGTGTCCCCCCCCCCCCCGCCTTCCCCACAGACCACTTGGCCCCCACAAACGCCCATCACTGGTACCTGCCCCTCCCTCCCCCCACTGCGGGCTCCCAGCCCTGCTGCAGCCTGGAATGTGGGCTGAGGTGCCAGGCCTGACCCCCGGGTCTCCCTAGGAGCAGAACTGGCCCGGCCCTCACTCCTCTTCAGCAGCCCCACCTTGGGCCCAGGCTCTTGCCAAGGTCACCTTTGACCTCTCTGTGGCCTGGACCTCCCTGGGGGTGCTTGTAGGCAGCACAAGGACGCACCCTCTTCCCCACAGTGCCCTGTGCCCTGTGCCACACCCACCGCGCCCTGTCCACTTCCCCAGCCTTGGGCCTTCCTCGCCACAGGCTCTGCAGCAGAGGCCCCTGTCCTGGAAGGAGGTCCGGGAACGACGGGGAGCCTGCCCAAAGCTGAGGCCAGGACTCTCCTGAGCACCGTCCAGCCCCGGGGCCTTCTCCTCCCGGGTCCCTAGACCAGTCCCTAGCAGGAAGGCTAGGCCGCCCCAGCCCACTGCAGCCATGCCCTGGACACCTCTCCAGGCTCCTAGAAGCCTCACATCTGAAGCAAGAGCCTGCACGCTGCCCCCTCACCTGCAGCCACAGCTGAGGTAGCTGGGCTGGACCCCAGGTCTCCGTGAGATGCAGCTGTGTCCTCGGCAGGTCTCACGAGGACGACACCAGGGGGACAGGGACGGGCTGTAGGCTGGGCACCACCCTAGGGTCAGCCACACTCACCTTCTTCCAGGTCATTTCGGGCAGCGGCCTCGAGAAGGGTGACACTGGGCGGGAAGAGGACCCGCTTCTGCAGCCTGCCGCCAGCCGCCTCCTTCCACAGCCGCTCCCTGTGGCCCTTTCTGCCCTGGGCCTCCTTCTCAGCCTGGGCCCACATCTTCACCTGCTGGGCACGGCGCTTCTGGGCGTGCTTCAGCCGCTCCTGCGTGCTCATCCTGCTCACCGCGGGCATCTCTGCCAGCAGCTCCAGGTGCTCGGCCATGGCGGGGGCTTCCCGCCAGGGGGGTTGCTCGGGGCACCAGACAGGGAAACAAGGGGGCCAGGCTGGGCCTGAGGGGCGGGGCAGCCGGGTGGACTGGGGCCCTCGCGGGCATCCCCTCCTCAAGGCCCGGTGCCCTCTGCCCCTGGCAAGGCTGGGTCAGGAGATCCCACTCCGTGACCAGGCTCAGGCAGCCCAAGAGGCACAGGCCCCTGGCAGAAAGGGCCGTGTGGGAGACGCCAGCAGCCACCTCTTGGGAGCCCTGGCAGCTTGGCTGTTCGAGGGCAGGGCCTCCCTCTCTCCCTCCTGGGGTCAGGGTGCACGGCCTGGGGAGCAGCAGGACCTGTCTGCCTTAGTCCAGGTTCTGTAGCTGATCGCCCAGGTAACAAAGGCGCAGCTTCCTGGCGCCTCGCCAAAGGGGAAGGGCGGGCAGGACAATGGGCAGAGGCCCCTGGGAGCCCTAGAAGCCCCTTTCCCCCCAAGCCTCAGGAGCCCGGATAGGGCCTGGGAGCAGCCATGGTCTGGCCTCCTCTGTCCTCTGCTTCCTCCTGTCTGTTTCCCAGGGTCAGTGCATGGGCACTAACCAGGAGGTGTGGCCGGAGGGCGGGCTCAGCAGCCAGAGCAGCCAGGGCAGGGTGTGTGATTAGAGCCTTGGGGTCCCAGACATGGTGCCCGGGGTGAGGCGGAGCAGGTCTGGCAGCCGTCTTCAGGAGGGCAGCCCCTGTGGAGGAGCCTGGGCAGGGAATCCGGCCACAGACAGCAGCGGCTCCACCAGCCTGAGGAGGAAGAGGAAACACAGGGAGGCTGGCAAGGCTCCCAGCAGCTAGCAGGTGAGACCAGGGCCTGCCCTGGATGAGGCCCAGCCCGTGCCCACAGAGAGCCCTGCTAGACAACAGTCCGGGGAGCTGGGGGCTTGGAGCTGGGGGGGGCCCCCCCACAGCTTGCTCTGCCCCCCTCTGAGTCACACTGTGTTTAAAAAGGCTGAGAAGGGCCCAGCCAACGTCACTCAATGGTTGAGTGTCAAACTAAGAACCAGGAGATCATGGTTCGATTCCTGGTCAGGACACATGCCTGGGTTGTGGGCTTGATCCCCAGTAGGGGTGTGTAGCAGGCACACAACCAATGATTCTCGCATCATTGATGTTTCTCTCCCTCCCTCTCCCTTCCTCTCTGAAATATATACATACCTTTCTTTTTTAAGAAAGGGCTGAGGAGGGAGCAGGAGGCTGCCTCCAGGGCCCAGGGACTGCTTCAGGAGCTGTTCTCTGCTGCTTCCCAAGGCTCCAGGTTCTGGCCCTGGTCCCAAGCATCTGCCCTGTCTGCCCCCAGGCTGGGCCAGGCAAGGTGGCCTTCTCCTCGGCTCTCCAGGAACTGCCCCAAGGGCAGGCCCTACCTCCTGGGCCTGAGGCCAAACAGGGCCCCGCCCGACCTGGCCAACACCCTGGCTCCCCAGGCCTCCGGGTCCCTAGCCCAGTCCAGTCGATGCCTCAGCCGTCATGTGGACACGGGCGGAGTGGCCTCCAGGTTGGGGTCTATTAACTAGGCAGGCAGCCTGCCTGGGGCACAGCCACAGAGAATCCACGGTGGCCTTCCTGCCCAGTACCCCTGTGTGGCCCCTGGCTGTGGTCACATGACACGCCTCAGGAGGCCCTGGCTGCATTTCATCCAGAAGGTCCCCCTTTCACTCGGCCAGGCCTGTGGCCATCTGGATACTGACCCCTCCTCTGGCCAGACTTGTATTTAGGGCGCTCAGTGAGAACCCCTTCTTTCTGTCCTGGGCCAGATCAAATGAGATCCGGTTCTTCCTGCTTCAGGACCTCCAGTGCCCCTGGGAGCTTCCCTGTCCAGGTCCGACCTGCTCTGGCCTCTGAGCCCGGCCTGGGCGGCGTCTTGGGGATGGAATTAGGGAATAGCTGTCCAGGCAGCACCCCTGCTCTGGGCAGCCTGTGCCAGCTGCTACCTCTGCAGACTCTTGGGGCCAGGGGCAGACGCAAGCTGTCCAGACTCCCCGTCCCAGCCCCCAGTCCTGCCTTGGCCCTCGGCACACAGCCTCTCACAGTGAGACAAGCTGGGGCCAGGCGCTGCAGACACCTGCCGGCTCCAGACCACACCTGAGGCACAGCAGAGCATCCCTGCGCCCCCCCAGACCCCCTTCCCTCCTTTCTGCTGGTCACTTACAGCTCCCCTCGCTCCCCCTGTCTGCCCAAGAGCTGAGGTCCCCCCCATCTCCCAACCCCCTGCAAGGTGGGACCTTCACCTCTTCCATCAGTCTCTGGGCCTGTCAGGGAAACTGACCCCAAGAGACCAGGAACACAGGGCGGAGCTCAGTGCCCTCTGCTCGGCCGCAGGCTCCAGCCAAGGGAGGTCCCCCCCCCCCCCCCAGATTCCCAGCAGAGTGGGCTCCAGCGTCTCCTGCACCAGTTTTACTCTCCAAGATGGTGCCAACATCAGAGCCACTGCCATCATTTTATACGAGAAAAGAGACTCTGATGCCCAGGTCCTGCAGAAAACCACCCAGAGTCGCAGCGAGCTTCCCACAGAACACACACTGTCTTTGGTTTTGTCATGAAGGTCGCCTCTGCAAACCCATCACAGAGCACATCCGCCCCCCCCCCACGCCCCCTCCAGCCGCAGGGGGAGGAAAGGGCGCTGGCTGCACTGCACACCTGGCCCCGCCCGCCCAACACCTGGGGCCGCCCACACAGGTCCTCCCTCGGCCGGAAGCCCTGAGAGCAGGCTCTGGGGGACTTGGGCGGCTGGACTGGGGGCATCCTCGGAGAAAAAAGGTGCCCACGGCGACTCCAGGGCTCTGCTGCAGTGGGCACCCCTCCCCCCCCCAGGACCTGGACCCCCGCCCCTCACCGAGCCGCTCTCAGCCTCCTCTTCCCGACGCAGCCAGGAACAGCTGCCGGAACCGGTGGCCGGACCTTCGGCACAGCCAGGAAGGCGAGACGAGCTCAGGAGTTTCCCCAGGAACGGCCCACACTCCACACCCAGGCTGAGGGGGCTCGGCAGGGCAGCTCCCGCCTCTGTCTACAAATCCGCCCCCAAGCTTCCCTGGAATGTCAAACAGAGATAATCTGGGCCACTTTTTCCAGTTCTCAGCTCCGTGCCAGGCGAGCTGCACAGGAGTGTGGACTGAGGTGGGAGGCCCCAAAACCTGGGCTCCCCAAGACTGCCAAGATCACCCCGGGACCCCTGGCCTTTTGGACGGGAGGCCCTGGTCCCCGACCCCAGCCCAGGAGGGTTTCAGCAGCCCCCACACCCACAGCCAGCAAGTCCCTGTCATGACCCCCCACTTCCCACAGGGAAATGGGGCCACTGCTCCACCTGCCTCCCTGCCCACTTCCTCGCACCTCGCGAGGCGAGCCAGGGGCAGGGCAACAAGAGCCGGAGTCTGGGAGGGGCCCGGGGAGGGGAGAGTCTCAGCGATGCTGGGGGCAGGGCAGCCCCAGCTGCAAGGCCCGGCCCCTGCCCACTCCCCCTGGCTCTGGGGGCTTCACGTCTCCCTGTTTGGGCTGTTGGAGTGGTTCCCATAGCTGCCAATCAAAAAGAGCTGATTTTATTTGTGGTATTATTTATAATAGCCAAAAGGGACAGTTCCATAGACGCCTCGACTCTAAGTAAGGTGTTGTCATTCTGCAGAAACAGAGACAAGGTAGATGAGGTCATCGAAACATCGTGGCGCAGGACTGTGCCACCTTCCCCGACTCCAGAGCGGACTCTGCCCCGGCCCAGGAGCAGAGGGCGAGAGGCGGGGCTGCTGTGCGAGACTCCTGGGCAGCCCAGGAGGGGGCCCAACGCAGAAGGCCTCAGGGACACCCTTAGTTCATTAGGCCCCAGCCCTACCCAGGCTCTCCGGGAGACTGCAATCCTGCAGAACGCCCCCCCCACAGGCACAAGGGCCCCACTTCCAGGCGGTGAAGGCCAGATGTCCAGGCCCTGTCTGGGGTCCTGGCCTGTCTCTTCCACGAGAGAACACGCTTGTTGAGGGCTCAGTGAGTGCCAGCACCTGGAAGGGGGGCCTTGGGTTGTGTGGGAAGGCTGGTGGCAAAGCAGGCAGAGCCATGTGGCTGGGCAGCAGACCCCTCAGGCCCAGGTGCCCCATGGCTCACTCCACCCAGAGGGGGAGCAGGTGCCCGGAGACCCTGAAACGTGAGGAATGCTGCACGAGGCCATGAAGAAGCGACCAGTGTGCGGGATCCAGTCCCCCGACAGCTCTCCTCACGGCTCTGCTCTGGGGGTGGGGACGGGGACGAAGGGGAACAAGAGCAGGCCCTACCCTCAGTGAGGTCCACTGCAGACAGGCAGAGGTCACAGGGTGGCCATCCAGGGGCCTCTGCCTCTAGATCCCCGTGAGGGGAAGGGCCCCGAAGCAGGCCGGGGAGCGGCAGTGGGGAGCTGGGGGCTGGCAGGCGGGCTGAGGAAGTGTGAACGGCAAGGGCAGTGTGGCAGTGGCTTCTTGAACCGGCGGGGAGACCGTGGAAGAGCAAATCAGGTGCTGCCGTGGGCACCCTCACCACTGACATACTATGGGCACACTCACCTGCCCAGAGGCCTGCTCTGCAACGTTCCAGACGCTAACCCCCAGCACTCCCACCAGGCCCCGAGGGGCAGCACCTTTAGGACAAAAATGCTGGAAATGACCTGCCAGCCTCCGCAGGGGCTGGGCTCCGGAGGGAGCCGTGCACGCGTGAAAGGTGTAAAATCTGTGGGTGACAGGCTGCCTCTGATGTAAACACGGAATAAACAATGTAGGTTTGCATCCATGTGAGAAACACAAGACGACGGACGGGTCTCGGGTGGGTGGGGGCAGCTGGGTGGTGTGCACTTTGGGTCATTTCTGTTGTGTGACTTTGAGACCTGAAGGTAAACTTCAAAACAGCTTGACACGCTCTGCTTGGAGAGGGCAGGTGTGCACACCTGCTGGGGACCCGGCTGGCGGGCGGGGCGGGCTGTAGAGGACACACCACCTTCTGTCCTGGCCAAGAAGCTGGCCTCTGCCCAACCAGCCGCAGGAGCCAGAGGCTTTCAGACAAATGAGTGATGTGATCAGACCCGGGTGGGGGCCTCACGGAGACGCTGACCCCTGCACACTCACCAGCAGGGAGTGGACAGAGGACAAGAGTAACCAGGGGCAGGTGGGGAGGAAGGAGGGCCCTGAGAAGGAGATGGGGCTGGGGGCGTGTCCAGGTGAGGGGGCAGAGAGGAGAAGACCAGTGGCTGCTGCAGGGACATGGGGTGGGGGAGCAGGGGGCAGGGAGCCCCGGGACACAGAGCAGGGGCCCTTCTTCTCATGGTCACATCAGACCCAGCGGGAGAAACAATAAAACCACAGGCAGGAGGGAGACAAACAAAGGGATAGCCTTTCTGAACCTGACACAAAACCCAGGAACCTAAAAGAAAACGGATTAATCCGATTACACTCCATTTTTCAAAATGCCTGCACTGTGCAAACACCACAAACCTGCTGAGCGCTCCCCGGGCGCTCACCCCCTTCTCCTCCCTCCTCTGCTGAGGCCCATCATCGCTACCTTCCTCTCTCCCTCTCTGGAGCACCACGAGCCCTGCCTTTGCCGCTGTAACTGTGTCCTGAGCCGGTTTCTTCTGCTCACCTGCTCACCTCATGTCTCGGAGGAATGGCAACAAAAGGCACCCGAGCCTCCGGGGAAAACCACACAGGGTGGCGGGTCAGACTCAGAACTGGAACGACGTCATTTCCCCCAGACTCACCTCAGACTCCACGCAATCCGTCAAAATCCCCGTAGTTGTCCTGCAAACTCTAATTTTCCAACACAATTCTCTGTCCAAACTAAGTCTCCATTGTATATGACATGCAAAAGGACAAGAATCGTCGGGACAATCCTAAAAGGAACAAGTTTCAAGTGCTTATACGTGTGGATATCGAGGTTCCTCGTAAAGATTAGCACGGGCTGGGGTGCAGTGGACTCGGGCAAGCGCTCCGTGTGCGGACAGCGGCTCCGACCCGGGGCAGCAGGAAGGCAGTCTTTCCGATGAAGACACACACGGTCCAGGCAGCTCACCGGGACGAGGGCTGTGCCTCGCAGTGTGCCCGAGGGAAGCCTGCACCGTACAGAGGCGGCCCCAGAGCTGGCACAGGACCAACCGGACTGGACTCAACACAGTAAAGCCTCTGCTCTGCCCAAGACCCTGTGCAGAGGCGGGAGGACAAATTCCCAAGCCACAGACCCCACAGAGGACTCCCACAGCTCGGCAGGAAAAACCCAACATTCCAACTAGAAAGTGGGCACAAGGTGGGACCAGACACTCCATTGCCCAGGGCACAGGGTGATGGGGTCCTGCCTGCTTCACCCTCAAGGAGACGCCATCGGGAGCCCACCCACACCTGGGAACAGCACGCGGGAGCCAGGGTCTCCCACTGCTGGGGGTGCAGCCACGCTGGAAAAGTTGGGCAGTTTCTTAAAAAAAACTCAACGTGTGCTTACTGCATGACCAAGCAGCTGTGCTTTTGGGCACTTATCCTGGAGAAATGAAAATTTAAGTTCACACAAAAACCTGTACGTGGATTTCATAGCGACTTGATTCATAATTGCCCCAAACTGGAAAGAGTTGTCCCTTCACAGAACCCACCAAGACCAGGTGTGCCCAGCTCAGGGGGCAGGAGGGCACCAGCACGTCCCCAACAGTCAGGCCTGCAGGGTGCAGTCAGAGGCACTCCCCGGAGGCCAGGTCCAGGGTGTGGGGCGGAGCTGAGGAAGGGGCGGCTGCACAGGGCTCACAGGGCCATGGGTGGTGACACAGATCTACACGTGGGACACGTGTGGCGGGCTGCACAGAGCAAAGCACACATTCGCACACTCACTCACGACACATGCAACGCTGGTAAGCCTGTAAGGGTCCGTGTCCCGGGCGAGGGCGGCAGCGCAGGTATGTGCCTTTGGGGGACCAGGACGTGAGGAGGGGTCTCTCTGAATGATTTCTTACAACTATGCATGTACACCTACAATCATCTCAAAATAACATTTAAAAATAAAAGGAGTGAAAAAGCAAGCCACCAAGTAGGAAATAATATTGGCAACTCTCCCCCAAACAGGAAGTGGGCCAAAGACTTCACTCAG